AAGTAGCTGGGACTACAGGTGCCCGCCACAACGCCCGGCCATTTTTTGGTTGCAGCCATCATTGTTGTTTGGCGGGCCCGGGCTGGGGATTCGAACCGGCCACCTTAGGTGTATGTGGCTGGCACCTTAGCTGCTTGAGCCACAGACGCCGAGCCAGAATCTCTTATATTTTGGTTTGTTATCAGATTGAATCATTGAACGTTGATGTGTTACTATTATCTAACTTATCATTCATATTTGCATGTTATCAGCTGTCCCTATAGTGTACATTATAACACTGCATTTAAGTGTCACGTCTCTTTATTATTCTATGATGTGGAACAGACCCAGTCTATTTTTGTCTTTTAAGACCTTAAACATTTTTGACAGGTCACTTGTTTTTAGGATATCTCTCAATTTGGGTTGTCTAAGATTTTTTGATGATTAGACTGAACTTACACATTTTTGGCAAGAAAACAATAAAAGTGATATGAATCTTTCTCCGTGCCTCGTGTTGGAGGTGCGTGATGGTGGTCTGTCTCGTTATTGGTGGGTGCTAACTGTGGTCACTTGGTTCAGGTGACATCCTCCAGGTTTTCCTGCAGTTGTTATTTTCCCATTATAATTAATAAGTATTCTGAACTTATATAAATAGGGTCTTTTCTCCTGAAAGTTTCAACTGGTATTAGCATCTATTGGTGATATTTGCCTGAATCAATGACTATTTCCACTGTCTTTCTATGTTTATTAGTTGGCATTATTCTGTAGGGGAGAGCTTTCCCTTTCCCTTTATTATGTATGTATCTGTCAGAATGGACTCATGAATTGGTATTTTATTCAGTGGGTTATAATCTTGTATCTCTTAATGTGTTTTTTTCCCCCCCTTGCAATGTATGTGGTAAAGAAATCAGGTCACACACATCATTGTTTCTACCTTTTAGATTTGTCTGGCTATATCTTCATGGTAACTTTACTGGTAAACTGGCAGTTAGATCAAGTGGCATGATCAAGGATGAATTTTAAAACATTTTAGGGCCAGAAATACTTCCTAGGTAGTGTCATGACATACTTTTTGTTTTTTTCTCACCCCTTCCCAGAGGTTGGAAAGGTGTGTGAACGTTGTGACGTCGATGACTGCTGGTGTCTCTGAGAGAGAGGCCAATGATGCCCTCAATGCCTATGTAAGTAGAGCGCTTTCCCCACACCATGAGAGCTGAGACATGGCCCAGCAGGTGGAAAGACTAAATAGCCAGATGCCAGGAGCCTGAAGTACCCATCTTGGCTCCCAGAACTAGGTTTCTCAGCTCCTTTCTTTTACTGTGTGAGTTTGTCTCTTAGAATACTGGACATCTTTAAATAAGAACTTTCTGTTTGTATAGATATGATGCCTTGCTGTGTTACTTAGGCTCAAGTAGAGAGACAGTTCACCAGTGCAGTCATAGCACACTGAAACTTTGAACTCGCAGCCTAAAGAGATCTGGGACTACAGCAAGATGCCACCATACTCAACTAATTTTTCTTTATGTTTTGTTGGGGTGGGGTCTTGCTGTGTTGCCTAGGCAGTTGTCAAATTCCTGGCCTCAAGCCATCCTCCTGCCTTGGCCTCCTAGACTGCTGGGGTTGCAGGCACGACCCATGTACACCCAGCCTGTACATTATTTTTAATAATTTTGCACATGAGGTGGCACCCGTAGCTCAGTGGGTAGGGCACCAGCCACATACACTGAGGCTGGTGGGTTCGAGCCCAGCCCAGCCTAGCTAAACAACAATGACAACTACAACAAAAAAATAGCCGAGCATTGTGGTGGGCACTTGTAGTCCCAGCTACTTGGAAGGCTGAGGCAAGAGAATCGCTTAAGTCCAAGAGTTTGAGGTTGCTGTGAACTGTGATGCCATGGCACTCCACCAGGGGCGACATAGTGAGTGAGACTCTGTCTCAAAAAATAATAATAATAATAGTAATTTTGCACGTGAAACAAAGTTTTGACTGAAACCCATAACATGAAATCTGTTGTGGAATTTTCTTTTCTTTCTTTTTTTTTTTTTTTTTTTTAACAGAGTCTCAAGCTGTCCCCCTGGGTAGACTGCCATGGCTTCACTGCTCACAGCAACCTCCAACTCCTGGGCTCAAGCGAGTCTCCTGCCTCAGCCTCCCAAGTAGCTGGG